TAACACCATCCACCATCATCACTACATATAACACCATCCACCATCACTACATATAACACCATCCACCATCATCACTACATATAACGCCATCCACCATCATCACTACATATAACGCCATCCACCATCATCACTACATATAACGCCATCCACCATCATCACTACATATAACACCATCCACCATCATCACTACATATAGCACCATCCATCATCACTACAGATCGGTAAAGTAGTTTCCGAGATTCTCATGCGGACACACACACACACACAAACAGACATACTAAGGGGGGGAAAACAAAAAGAACAAAAAATAAATACAGAAATTGGAAAACAAAAAAACAAATTAAGAGTGAGAAATGATAATATTATGTTGTGTTGTCAAAGTAAGAGAAACAATTGAGACCCTGCAATTATGTGTAAATGAGGCAAAAAGTCAGAGCAGCGACCTGGTCACAATTTTTGTGATGCCATATGGCAGCAGGGTCTACCATTAGACATCACATTATGCTCTGTTGTATTATGATTATCTATATGATCGTCTATGGCCAGTCAAAAGTTTCCAGAAAACTGAAGTACGTGGATGTTATCACTCTGTATATACAGTGTATACTGTATATACACGACTGCACGCTTATGGTTAATGGTTTATAGATGAAGAAAGTGCTAAGTCAATACCTTTCGCAAATGTTCACTCCAGGTATTTGTCTTTTGCTGCTGTTGTTTATATGTACAGTATATATTTCTGTGTTTCGTTATTTAAGGATTTTAAGCACGTACTCTATGTAAATCCATACTCAAGATAAAATCTACCCAAATTTAATTTAACTGCTCTTCATTTCTGCCTTTGTGAGCTTCCACTAAGCCTTGCCACACTCCAGCACGCACCAGTTAACAATTGTGAAGCAAAACACCGACTCACGTTATTTCACAGAACATCATCATCGTTCATAGCCTATTACATAACGTTCACTTGCGTCACAGGGTGTAACAGTACGTCATCCTCACGAATTTTGCGTAATAACTTCCCGGTTTTTATAGTATGCATGGCTCATGGCTGGATGGGTACACATACCAGTTTGCCTTATCTGTGTGATAACGTTGGTGACGTTGCTGTTGATATTATTACTAGTAACACTGCTGTCGCGATGCTGCTGTTGCTATTAGTGCTGATTTTATTCTCATTTCTAGTGCTACTGCTGTTCCTGCTGCTTTTTTTCTACGGATCATTGTTAAAGATTTATCGCCTATTCGCTTGGCTGCAACTGTCGTGCCTGATGATTTTGTTGCTAATGACTGCAGGGGCTCACCCAGAAATTGGGTAGGGGGGGGTCCGACTGAGTGACTGGGAAGGATAAAGGGAGGATGGAAGTGAGAGGAGAGGAAAAGGTGCAGTGGCTTAAACACCGCTTCCGTGATGGGGTAGGCGATATGCCCGGATGCGTGGGTTCAATCCAACCATCCAGTGGGTTGTGCTGCAAGTCTCCGACATCTCGCCAGGAAGACGCCCAGGGGGGTGGTGGGGTTACGGGTCGGGCCGGCGCCGGTGTAGCAGTTAAAAGTGAAGTATACTCCATTGCCTGAAGATCTTAGAGGAGTTCAGAAATTAAAAGACAAAATCTTTTCTCTTGCACAATTATCATACAATTACTGCAGGTGATGAATCACCTGTCATGTCGTTAAATAAATTTATGGAATAAATGGCCTTGTTTTCAATAGAGTTCTTGGCTATTAAAAGGCATTCTTATTGTTCCCTTTAATGAAATAAACAAACACAAAACCAAAAATTCAAGTTGTGTCTTGGTTACTGATGTATTATAATATTTCATCTAACATGATATATGTAAATATTAATATTACCATAAAAAATAATATTAATTGTTAATAATTAATAATACTATTAATTATTAGTCATGCACAATATATATATATATATATATATATATATATATATATATATATATATATATATATATATATATATATATATATATATATATATATATATATATATATATATATATATGTATGTGTGTGTGTGTGAAAGAAAAAAGCACACTCGATAACTTCTGTACAATTCCTCACAGTTCTTCACGTATATCCTGGGAATGTCAATGGCATTTTGACATCTGCGACTCCTGTCAAAATCGCATTACCGTGATCTGGGTGAATGGATACACTCCGAAATGCCTCGCTCCTTGCTAAGTTTTTTGCCTGCCGAGTAACCTCCCATTTCTCCTCCTCACTCACTAGTGTGATCCTGAGGGGGCGAGGCTTGTCCCCCTGCTTTTGTTCTAGCCTCCTCACATCCTGAGGGGTTGATGGCATCTTCAGAATCTCTGTACAAATATTCTTAAACTGCATCTTATCGTGTGTTATCTTACTCTCGGTTCCCTCCACCTGGCTCTCAGGAACTCCCAAAACTATTACATTGTTCTTGCGTTGGAGACGTTCCCGTTGTTCCTCCTCTCCCCTAACAGTAGGTCCGTTAATTTTCATTTCTTCGACACACTTCTTTAGTCCCTAGCTGCTGTAGAACCTATTCTGATCCTGCATTACTCTCCGCCACCTCCCGTGGCCCTGCTAATACGTCAGCATAACTCCTCTTAGCAACCACCTCCATTCTAGCTGCTACTTCCTCAGTCTTAGCAAGGATCTCTTTCCCAACTTGTAAGGTTGTTTCGTAGTAGATGTTCCATCGAGGCATCTCTGATAATACTCTCAAGTACTTTACATATTATGCTGGTCAGGCTCACCGGTCTATAGTTGTTCGTGGAGTGACGATCGCCCTTCTTGAAGATAGGACTCACATAAGTCACTTTCCATTCACTGGGGACCTTTTGTTCATCCAGGCATTTACAAAACAGGATCTTAAGGGGCTCGGCAAGCTCGTTGCTCAACTCTCTTAGTACTCTGGGAATTGGACAGTCATATCCAGCAATACTGAACTCTCATTCCTCTGGGTCAATTCTCCTGTTCTTGTACAACAGTTCTACAACTCCTACAATATCGGGTTGGTGTACCTTCAGTAGTGTTTCAAACTCCTCTCTCTTATCAAGGAACGTGTCAGTATTAGTGTACACGACATTCAAGCCAGAATTTGTTCTCGGTAACGTCTAGGCTCTTAGTAGTAACCCTCCCCCCTCCCTAATTCTCAGAAGCTGCAGCATTTGCTAAGTACAGTGTAATTTGCAGGGTATGGTTAGAAATGTCATTGTTTACTAGGCGCTCGCCTCCTCCTGTCTGGTAGGCAGAGCTGGTGTAGGGGTATGTGATATTGGTTCACACTCAGGATGGGATGGAGAAAGGAAACTCACAATGTGCTCACTGTATACATATTGTATTGGATGTACAATGCAGCGTGTTGCTGGGTAGGTAGCATGGTAATAAGCGTTGAGTAGAGAGAGCTGGGTGGTGAGGGTGCCCAGAGTGAGGGCACGCGGCTTGAGGGACGCCAAGGTCGCTGGCGGGAGCGGCAGCCACCTGGCTGGCGTGGAGGGGGAGGTGTTGCTTGCTGGTGGCACTGTGTAGAAAAAGAGCTGGTCACAGCCGTGTCAGGCCTTATAAGGCGGGGGTAGGCGTGGGTAGATAGTTGACCCCCGCTCCGTGGGCGGCGCTGGAGGCGTAGGCTGGGGAATTCGAGAAGGTTCCGTGCTTGTAGGGAAGGAATCCACTACACTGGTGCCACCTCCCGGGTGGGGGGTAGAGCGGGTTGTTGTTGTTGTTTGGGGGAGACTGTGTATAGATCTACACCTATTTGAAAATAAAGAGAAAAAAAGAAACAGTACTTAGCTGCCCTCTGTTGCCTTTAGGGTTGTCTTCTGTTTTTATTCTCTTTATTTTTTTTCAGTTCACTTCGGTAATTTGCCGGTATTTATGTGCTATCTTTATGTACACTGCATTTTATTATGAATAACGGATTTTATACTCCCACCCAGTCCTTTAGAAACACAGAAAAATAAAATTAAACTTTCTTTGGGGCGGTAATAGAATGCCTTTAAGGATAACCAAGCTTGTTGATTTTATTTTATTTTATTTTTAATTTAACTATTATTTCCTTATAATTTATTTTCCTGTTCTCATCAACGATTATATCTCTTTGTGCTATCACTGTGCACACTGTATCTCCCTGTGAATGGTGTATTGTAGGCACAGTTTCAGTCCTTGAGAAAGGACACAAACAAAATAAAATTAAAAGTCTATATGGCACCTATGACACGACTTGGTCTCTGCTGGCAGTGGTGCCTTACCAGCTGGCTTGCCAGTTTGTATTCACTTTAAGTTATTTACAACCTCTTCCGTGGTCACTGATGAGACACTGAACTGATTTGCCTAAGAGCAGTGTACTCTACTCCCTGGTTGATTTTTATCACAGCCGTGACCACAACTCAGCAAAAAAAAAATAATAAAGTTTGTCATATGGCAATGATTTTGTGGTTATAGGCCTCCTGACCTTTGGCTGTACCTCCAACTTAGTGGAAATTAAGTTTTCAAAAATACAATCGCGTCTAGCATTAAAAATCCTACATCGATTTACACTTTCACATCACTAAGACGATCTTGATGTTCTTATATAATTACTGTCTAATTCCTGCCGCTCAACAATGTACTATGTATTATCGTTTCCATTTATGTGTTTAAGGTCATACTAATAGTGTGTACAATATTTTTAACCAAATCTCACATTTCTTTCTGGTAATAACGGTTTCGTAAACATTTACCATATTATTTTCCGTTAAATATTAATTATCTATCATAGTTAACCCCCCAAGAGATAATGAAATCGTTTTCTTTGTTTGGCACGCTTGGCCGCTAGATGGCAGGCCACTCGGCAGCTCCAACATACAGGGATATACTTCCTTTATTACACCTTCCTTGGCACTACTGTTATTGTGTTGCAGCTTCGACATACAGGGATATACTTCCTCTATTACACCTTCCTTGGCACTACTGTTATTGTGTTGCAGCTTCGACATACAGGGATATACTTCCTCTATTACACCTTCCTTGGCACTACTGTTAATAGTAAACAGAAGACGCTCCTACCGGCTTGGTCTGGGCTACTGTGCTCTGACTAACATTACCTAAAGTTTTTTTTCTAACTATCTAGCTATGTTACCGGTGTCGTGTTTAATGAGACAAGCTCGGCATTTCAGAACCTATGGGAGACTTTTAAAGAGAAGGAGAGTCATCGGAGATAATAGCTGTATTGAGCCAGCCCTTGTTACATCATTTGTTTCTTCAAGGCAGTTTGTCACATCTTTGGACCGTGAGTTAGTTGACTTGCAGTTTCTATCTTTAAGTTAGTATTAGGGGTATTATTGCATTTTGAGGCGATAAATGGTCCGACTAATTACCCAAATGTACCCAAATGTAGCTGCAATGAAGTCAAATAATGGTCCTACATGAATAAATCAGACTGCCAATCACTTCTCGACTAGTATTTGGTGTCACAAAGTCACAAAAAATTGGTAAACTTAATTTAATCTGAGTTGTGTTTGGTTAGGTTAGGTTAGGTTAGGTACATGCACTCAATCTATTAACTCAGATTAAATTACGTTTACCAATTTTTTGTGACTTTATGACACCAAATACCAGTCGAGAAGTGATTGGCAGTCTGATTTATTCATGTAGGACCATTATTTGACTTAATTGCGGCTACATTTGGGTAATTAGTCGGACCCGCGATAAACGGCCGACTATTTTAACCATCCCTAACCTGAAGATTAATGGAAGAAAATAGAGAAAGATTTGACATGCACCATCTCCGTTATTACACGTTTCAAACTAATGTAATAGAAAAAAATTATCTTAAAAATAGACGTATTTTTCGAATATGATAATAGATTTGGGGCAGGAAAGTTGTTTGAACTACTGTAAAAATACCCTTTAGATCTCCTTATTTGGAGTATTTTTAACCCGATATCAACTCTGGGGCAAATAATCATAACGTCGGAAATTAATTTTAACTCTAAAACGGGTATTTTCCCCTCGGAAATAAAGGTCAAATTCAATAAAATCGCACCAAAATACACAGGATAAACTAATTTCTAAACTTCTAGGGCATATTGTCTGAAACTGCAATTTTACTGTATTAGGTAAGGTAATAGTGGATGGCAAGGTAATAGTGGATGGCAAGGTAATAGTGGATGGCAAGGTAATAGTGGATGGCAAGGTAATAGTGGATGGCAAGGTAATAGTGGATGGCAAGGTAATAGTGGATGGCAAGGTAATAGTGGATGGCAAGGTAATAGTGGATGGCAAGGTAATAGTGGATGGCAAGGTAATCCTGAGTAAAGTAGTTGCCAACACCTACTTGTATATTGAGTCTTGTAGGGAGAAAGAAAAAAAGGCAAAAAATCGTTGGTAAAATTGTAGTTTCTTTACTAATTGTTTTTTGAGCAGAAATCTAGGTTTTCCCTTGGTACTTGGTGTGTCATGAGTCGTTTTTGAGTTATCACCCCCCCCTCCTCCCCCTTCAACACTCTTTGGGGAACCATGGAAATTCAGGTTTTATGGATGGGCGTGGGGGGGGGGAGGGCAAAAGCAGAAACTAATAGGGAGTAAATCTAACCTAACCTAACCTAGCTTAACCAAAACCTAACATAACTAACCTAATCAAACCCTAACCTAATCTAACTTAACCAAAACTTAACCTAACCAAATCCTAACCTAATCTAACTTAACCTAACTTAACGTAACAACCTAATTTAATCCTAACCTAATTCAACCTAACCAAAACCTAACCAAACCCAGTAAAATTATCATCTGGTTATCCAGCTATTTGGAAGTTGAAATTATGTTTTTCCGATGGTTTTTGATGTGTTTTGAACGGATCTGTCTTTCAATTCTACTGCAAATCACTACTTTTTTTAAGCTATCTCTCCCCCCCCCCCTTATCCAGCAAAAATGGGGGACCCCCAATGAAAACCAGTAAGGGATTTTGGGTGGTGGGAAAATCACAAAAAGTAATAATTTGTGATAGAAATGAAGGTCAGACTCATCCAAAACCTAACCTAACCTAACCTAGACCTAACCACTAAACTTACCCTGTGTGCTTACCTTAATTAGACTCAGAAGACTCGGAGTTTGGGTCATTGGGGTCCTACTCCTTGTCATCCTCAGGCTGCTCTGGCCATTGTTTCTCCGACTGTGGAGGGGTGGGGATAGACTTTGCATAGTGTCGAAGAACTGGAGTAGAAGCTTGTCCTCACTAAGCTGCGTGATGAACAAGTAGCTCACCAAGTATTCCTTGAAATAGGCGGACTTGTTGCCAGGTTACTTCACCCACTTCCTGAGATCCTTCTACTGACTCTCGATGTTCTACGTGTGGATGGCGGGGTTTTGTGGATCAACAAAATTCTCGGAATGATTGATAGCCTGTTGGTCATGTCCGTGTTCCTTCCGGCTGTTGTAGGCTGCCCACTTGTTGCTGACAAAAGTTAACCCTGGCCGTACATACTTCTTGATTAGCCGAATTAACGTGATAGCATTGCGTTTACAGCCGAAAGATTCTACGAGAGGGATGACAAAAACCTTCTTGGAGACTCTCAATGCTGCCGAACACCCAGATGTCACTCAGAACACAGCCCTTCTCCTACTTCCTCCTGCCAAACTGTAACTCGTCTGTTTCCTCGATGGGAATACATTTAATATTAGAAGTTACGGAAAGGCTTTGGGATGAGCCGATTGTTGAGTGGTGATATTTTGGGTCTGAAATTTATTTATATGATCAAGAGCACTTACTATGGCGTGTGATGAAGGTAAGGACTGCTTAGTTATTTAAGTGGGTGTAGAGATGTTGAAGGTAGCAGGGAAGTGTTATTGTCTCTCAGCTTTGAACAGAGATGTTTGCACTACACCGGCTCTGGTTTACTGTACTGCGAACATATCGTTATGTGCAGTTGTAGTTTGGATCCATTTAAATTAATTTGTTCCACGACTCACACGTTTTTAAAGTTTTTGGAGATATTGTTATCATTATCACCATGCAAGAGTCTCAGTGCTATCATGAGGTTAGCTTCAATATACCTGTAAACATTTGACATTCCCAGATTTTTTCCCACTTCAGTACAGTACTTTTTAATTTGTTTTAAGTCTGTCACTACCTCTATCATTATGAAGGACCAAGGACTGATGCTTGGTAATCTGTCAGAGATCATGTTTTGTCCAGGCTAGATCTGTTGTTTTAAAATGTAACTAAAGTATTACCATCCTAATTTTATACCTTTCATCCCCAGCTTCTCATGGACTTACAGAGGAACAGACAGCCATCCTGCAGTTGGCATCAGACTTTGCAAAGAACGAGATGCTGCCTAACATGGCTATATGGGATGAGGAGGTGAGGCAATGTTTCAAAACACAGTACGCCCGGGTAACTGGCCGATTATTATTGTGCAGGTCTGCTGGTAGTAGTTTTAAAGTTGTCGGCATTTTCGCGGCTGGGACAGGAAGCCATTCATTCTATAGACAGTAATTTCCTTTACCTGTACAGTATTGTATATATATTGTGTGTGTGTGTGTGTAGACACACGCACGCACACACACACACAAAACACATACAAATAAATAATAATGGCAAAATCCTCTCACAATTATTCAGAAACAAGTTTTTTAAAAATGCTGTGTCTATCCTCAAGTCTACTCCGTGCTTGAGGGTAGACTGTCACATTTTTAATAAATTTGGCGATTCTTGGCCATTTTGTGAACCTAACCCCCGCGAATTTGAAGGGCGTACTGTACTGTACAATATTGATTTTTTTACTGCGCTTCATAATACAGTTATGGGTCCATTTATCTGGCATGCTTGGGACCTGGGGGTTGCTGGATAAGGTTTTTTCCTGGAATTTAGAGTGCCAGGCTCAAAATATATTCCCATGGACTCCTATTCAGGGATGTCATTTCTCTGTTTTTTCCGGTTTTCTGTTTTTTTTTGCCATCGTTTTAGGTGACCTACATGAATTGTGTAGATCTGTTGAGAAAAATTTTGAGGGGGGGTGGGATGTTATGACCATGATGAGAGAAATGTTTGACAATAGATTACAATAATTTTGACCCTCTACAGTAAGGTCGATGGGTCTGCCGGGCGAGGACGATGAGCCAGGGCATGTGTGTGTGTCCCCCAGGAGGTCAGGGCTGTAGGGCATGTGTGTGTCCCCCAGGAGGGTGGCCCTATGATGTGTATGAACATAAAACTCTCCAGCAGTAGGTATAGAAGCATGTTAAAGTAGAAGAGGTTGTAGCAGGAAGAGAATAAGAGAATTTTTTGTTAAAGAAACAGTTAGAATCAAAGAAAACAGAGTGAGAGAAAATGGCCCAAAAATCAAGGAAGAACAGAGAGGCCTTCCACCAACAAAAACAGAAGCGTTTACTCTCCCTGAAGAAACTTGCTGATGCAATTAAAACTAAGAATAAAACCTGGCGCTCTTTTCTCCTCCTTGGAGATATAGAGGATGCCTGAGAGGACCTATATCTCCAAAAGAGACCAGTCTCATCCGCATTGAAGACTTGCTTCGGTGTGTAGCCTCCTTCCTGAATAATCCGTTTGAATTCTGGCGGGAATGTCTCGGCTGCAATTGTATCTGAACTAGCAGCTTCACCAGTCATCTTTATGTTGTGGAAGTTATACAAACGCTTAAATCGTTGAAACCATCCTCGGCTGGCTGTAAAGGTCTCTTCCTTCGATCCTTCACCCTCTTCTGCATTATGGGGTCAAACAAGGATCTGGCCTTATGCTGGATAACCATAAGGCTCACAGAGGCATTGCGTTGATTCTGGTCCTCCATCCACATAGCCAGCATCTTTTCCACTTTTTCTGGCACAGTGCTTCCAGTACGAGTTGTTTTAGTTACACTCAGAATAGTACCACTTCCAGCACTAACCTTAACCTTGTCAGCGTTGGTCCGAATAGTACTCACCGTTGTGGGGGTTAGACAAAGCACAGCGGCTATGTCCACAGCACGTTCCCCTTTTTCAAATCGAGTTAATACATCCATTTTCGTAGCAATGGTAATGGTCTTACATTGTCTCTTCACTACACTAGCATCAGTAGCACTTGATGGGCACTTGGAAGCCATTTTGAATGGTTAGAGTACAGTTTTAGAGCAAAACCACTTAAGCACACATGAATGATGAGAAGTCGTAGCAGAGACTCGCTTGGGGGATGCCGTGATGTTCCGCGAGTGAGGGCAGTGAGCCGAGCCGAGAGAGCGTAGACTGGGCAAACAAGAGCGGGTGATGCGCTGTAGAAAGTAGTCCATGACGACGCAAAGCGACATAGTATCGTATCCCCGGGACGTTAAACGAATTTTGGGTCTGTAAAGTTTAGCGACGTAATATCGAAAGAACGTTAAGCGGGACGACGTTATACGAGGATGCACTGTATCATGGAATATGCTTATTTTTCTTATTTTAGTAGTAGTATATATGCTATTGAAACCACAGGTGCAGGTGCATTGGAGATAAATCCCTTTGGTAAGTACTGTATTAAATTTTGAATTCTCACACAATACAGTGCAAAAAAGCTTACCTTTAAGTTTATCTTCTCTCAATAATGGTGCACAATTACAAATATTAACCAAATTCAAGTTTAGTAACAACTAATTGTAAAGGAATTGCTAAGACTACTGTATATGCATGAAAAATATTGTTGCAATAAACATACATGTTTGATTTGGGGTACTGTGTATTTTAACTATTAGGTGCTCACGAAATGAGTAACAATGTGAGGAATTAAGTTAAATATGATAAAAACTTACCGGGTAGGTGTTTCCCCGGACCCCCCAGCCCATTATGTAAGTCGAGATAGGGTCCTACACAACAATATCTTGACACGTAATGACACAAAAATAAACTTTATTAATACTATCCTGAAGATAAACACACCTAATAATGTAGCAGTTAAACCAATCGAAGAGGGAGGTGTAGGTAAGTGAATAGTAACACTATTGTACTGTAGAAATTCTCATAAGACATGTATACTGTTCTTAGAAAACTATGGCTACAGGAGGAAAATACACACAAAAGTTTTTTCTAATTACTCCCTGCTAAAATGGGGGGCGGTGCGTCTTATATGTCGTAAAATACTGTGTTAAACTTTAATTTTTACTCACCTTTACTGTATGTAATTTTGTAATTCAATTTCTTATTTTCTCTTAAATTAAGTGATTCGAGATGTATTGAAAGACTTAGGCTATGATATAGTCCACATAGGGTATGTGTTCTGACTTTTATTTCTGACTTAAGAACATCCTCGGGAACGGAACTCGTTGGTAACCCGGGGACCCCCTGTACTGTACTTGTGATGTTATGGAATTTTCTTCATATGCACTTTATAAAAATGTCATAGAGTACCTGTACTTCATTATTAGAAGAAATATGATAATATGAAAAGGAGATATTTCGTAGGTTATAAGGAAAGAAGTGGATACCTGATACCTGCAGCAAGTCAAAGAATTAACAGTGTTGAAGAAGTCTTATTACCTGTAGTAAATTTAGCTCTGTATTTTTGCAGGAGATGTTTCCAGTTGAAACACTGAGGGCTGCTGCTGCTCTTGGCTTTGGAGCCATATATGCGAGTGAAGAATATGGGGGCACCGGCCTGAACCGTCTTGATGCATCCATCATATTTGAAGCTCTCTCACAAGGGTGCACATCCACCACAGCTTACATCAGTATTCACAAGTAAGTAAACATTAAACCCTCAAGAGACTGAAGCATGTTTGAAGCTCTTGATCAAATAAAACAAAAATGAGGATAATTTTGGAACCAAATGCTGAAATTTGCACACATAATGTCCCCTCCCCACCTTTCTTTTAAAGCCTTTTCCTTCATGACCATTTGTGGCCCAAAACAAGATGATAGACATTCACATATTTTCCTTTCATTTTTTGTTATAAAATCATTCCTGCTGCTGTAGAAAATGTGTTCTGTTTTTATACTCCCCTTCTACAACAAGGCTTCTAACCTGTTACTTTATGTACAGTACAGTATACCCATCTGCTTTATGTACAGTGCAGTATACGTATATCTCGGCTTATAAGATGGAATTTGAACATTAAAAAAATCTGCCCAAAGTTAGGGGGTCGTCTTAATCACCAGGTATAAAATTCTTACCTCTTAAATATTGTGGTTTAGTGTGTCAAGAGTGGTGATTGAAACATCGTAAGCCACTCACAAGGTCCTACCACTAATTATTTTATACTGAAACTTACGTTTGGCAAGCTGGATTCAAATTAAGATTACCAGTATATTAAAATAATAAAAATGTATTATAAACCTGTCTAACATACCGTAAAAGAACAATATACCCCTGTAATAAACACAGCTATCATCACACACCCCTCCCCATGCTTTATGTACAGTACACTACACCCATCTGCTTTATGTACAGTACACTACACCCATCTGCTTTATGTACAGTACAGTATACCCATCTGCTTTACAGTCATTAACCCTTAGCCAGCGGCAGCAGTGACCGGTGAAGCTCCACAATATGGAACAGTTGCTATATTTCATTAACATAGCAAAGATGCTTTTAATATTAAAACGTGAATTTTGTCAGTGGCTCTTACAGTATTTATATTCGTATAAGTAAGGTACGTGGAGTCACTCACACCCACAGCAAAAGCTGTGTCCAGGACTTGTTACCTGGATGTGGTTCCCTCTCACCCTCCCTTACTATATTGTTGCCTTACTGTTGCTTCTTATGGCATTTGTTCATTCACTGCTGTCACTCTCCTATGTTGGAAGGCTCTGATGTGTGGTAAAACATGGAGTAATACACAGTGCAACTTGACAAACATCACAGCTGTTGATAATTCTCCTCACTTTCTTTTGCATTGCACAGTAAGTACATCTCCTTTGAACCTTCTTTGTACTACCACCTTCAGCTGACTCTGTCTCTATTAGGAAATGTCTTCCACTCAGTCTTGTAGGACATGGCCCAAGAGTCACTGAGCTTGTGGGTTTCTTTATCCAATAAACATCTTTACTATATGCAGACACAATCTGTTCAGTCAAGAGCAACTTGAAGTCAAGGAGGTTTTTCTGGCTTCCATTTCTCTTGTAGGTTTCATGGCAGTTATGCAAACTCATTTCTATCAGCCTGAAAAATGGCTTCTTGCAACACCCTTGCGTGTGACACTTGAAGCAGATGTTACCTGATCCATTAGGTCTACCCATCCCATATGCTGTTTTTTGTACTTGATGCACACAGTTGGCTTGCTTACCTCTTTCCCACCAGATTGTACCATTTCCATGGAGTCGTCCTAGACTGTGCTCAGGATGTTTACATATTTCTCGTCTCTCCATTTCATATGCATCACTTTATTATTGAACATGGTGATTGTCTCTCCTTTTTTGAGTTTCTTTTCTTTTACATCTTCAGCAAGTCCCTTCCTGTTAAACCTTACAGCATCAGTTCCATGAGCTTAGAGGATGCCATACAGCTCGGGTGAAACATATAAGTTATCCACTCCAAGCACATAACCCTTATTCAGTAGAGGCTCTACTTGTGCAAGAACAATCTTACTTGGTTTGGACAGCTTGGCTATGGCTTGATCTGACAACCCTGGTTTTTGGCAAGCATATTCTGTGCCTTTCCCTGTATATAATAAAAGGTCCCATACATACCCTGTCTCAGCTTCTGCTAAGATGTAGGTCTCTATGCCAAACCTTGCTCTCTTTATTGGAATATACCTTTTCCATTTTAGTCTTCCTTTCCAGGGAAGTAGGGACTCATCAATGCTAATATTTTCCTTGGGGATGTAATTAGACATATATTTCTGCCTAAAGTTATCTAGCACCTCCCTGAACTTGTAAGCAGGGTTATCACTAGTTTTTTTCAGTTACAAATGCTTCAAAATAAGTGCAAATCTGTCCCTGCTAATGCATTTCTCAAAAAAGGGTGTTGCAAGCACCTGGTTCATGGAGTGGTATGGGTATATTGTTGACTTCTTTACTATACCTTGTAAAATGACCAAACCTAAAAGGTATACATCTCCCCAACATTAGTTTCCTTCCACATCAGATCTTTACTTTTTCTCCTCATTTTACCACTCCTTCTCTTTTCTTCACAGACATTGTCAGCATATTTGTTTGTCTCTCACACTATATGTTCTATTATATCTCTGTCTACAAAAGACAGAAAACTCTCTATTGGGTTCTGAGGATCTTGCAAAACTACTTTGACTCCCGTGTCTCCAGTAAATGGAAATCGTTCTCTACTAACTGGGAAATTGCTCAACCATCCAACTGGAGCACTGTCAACATGACCATCAATTTCTGCACCTGACAGAATATCATCTGGTTCCTCTGTAATAATCTCAAGTTGTGATTCATCACCACTATCAGTGTCATCACCACCACTATCTGATAGTGCATCATCAATAATATCATATGGAACATAATTATGGCTATAATTCTTAAATACAGGCAAAGAAAATATAAAGAAATTGAATTGAAGGCTGACAGCCGTAAATTTGGGGAAGTACAGTTCAAGCATTTGAGCGATTTAAATTCTCGCCCGCCTTCCATTCTTTTGAAGGTCATCCTTTTCACCCGCGCTATGCATGCTCAGTAATGGTCGCCTGTGTTCACAGGCATTATTTTGTAGTGCTCCAAGAACTTTGCAGTAATTATCAACTTTATTGTGTCTTTGGTGACATTGGTGGACTATTTTTGTAGCCATCAGTCCCGAACTGAAACTAGGTTGTGTAGTGGCTAAAAGGAAGCGTAGTAGCTATGGGATGGACGTGAAATTAGAAGTTACATGTCACAAGAAAACATCTTTAAGTACCTTAAATAAGTTGTAAATTTAAATTATTTCATAAAATAATGTGTAATAAAATGTTTCTCAGGTATATATTACTGTTAAAAGTTACCAAATTAAACTTTATGAGTGCCACTTACAATGTGATCGTCCTGATAGACCCTTTTCCTTTTAATTCTTATGGGAATTAATTCCCCTTTATGAGTGGTTTCATTATCAGTGGGTTTTTCTGGTCCCTATAAACCACTTATAATGAGGACCCCCCTGTACTTATACTTACCAGAGAAATAATGATAAAATAGAAAATAAAATCTCAAAATAATGACAAAATACAAAATGAACATTTTTTGAAGTAATTTTTTGATATTCCTATTATTTTATTTATTTTTTATCAGCTTTACTGTTAAGTTCTCATGTAAACAAAATATTTTATGAATGTAAAGTGTAAAAATGTCCACTTTTTTGTTATCTAACACTTGCTTACCTGGTTGTTTGTTTTTGTCTGGGTTTATGTGAAAGAGTAACCAATTGTACTTAAAATATAGTTGGCATCAGATTAAAACAATGAAGCGGTTGTTGAAAAACTTATCCAAAATAACAAGGTAGAGCGTTGGTCTTCTGTACTAGAAGGTCACTACTAACCCCATGCCTGAGGTGGGAGGGATGTTATTAATAAGGCGGTGCACGAGTGTTTGGGACCCGGCACATTCTTTTAAATTGATTTTCCCGAGAATCAGCACTGTATAAATATGAATTACCGTAACTCCAATTTGTCGTAATTCCGCATAATACAGTATTTTTTTCTGCAAACAATGTGAGTGTAAATTCTCTTGAAACTCTATATATGCTGGTTGAATGTATTTATTAGAGCAATATTTTCAGAGATAGGAATAACATTGATATAATCCATAGTTTTTATTTACTTTAACTTGTGCTGGGTGTGTCTGACATAGGTTATGGAGAAGTGAGGCACAAATTCTCTCCTAAGTTTACAAACCTTAACCTTTTATAGCAGAAACAGTGTTGCCTATATGAAGTAGTTTCCTGTACAACCTTATCAATTTCTCTCATCAATTTACATATACTGTACAGTTGTACCCCGCTTAACGCGGTTTCACTTAACGCGATTTCTCATATACGCGGTGCCTCGCCAGAACCGAACTTTCACTTAACGTGGTTCATCTACTCATATACGCGGAAAGCGGCGCGGGCACGATGCGCACAAGGTCGCCCAGTCATCAAAACATTACCGAGTTCTTCACCCGCCACCCACCTCAGCCGGCCCAAGTCAGTGATAGTGATAATGATAGTGAGGATATGGACTTATATGGACTTTGAGGGGTTTGACAAAGAGGCCCTGCAAGCCTCTGTGGTGGATAGTGATACAATTGATACAAGTGATACAGGTGAGGGCCAATAATCTGCCCTCTGCCTCGGAACCAACCCCCCATCCCCATGTGCCCAGCCATCTTTTCTACTAATGTAAGTGTTAAAAAACCTAATATTATTGATATTTCTCTTAATTATTAATTGTGTGTACATACCATCATAAAGTTAAGATAATATTTTTACTACAACATAGTTGTGTGTCGTCAAAAAGTGGAGTTTGGGGGTCGGGCCAGTCTCTATTGGAATTAATCCCATATGTTCTGTTGTTCACTTAACTCGGTTTTCACTTAACGCGGTACCCTGTGGGTTCAATTGACCGCGTTAAGCGGGTTACAACTGTAGTTTATTCATAGCATCTTTTCCAAAAATAATAAAAGAAAACAAATGGCAGGAATAGCCAAACATTCTGGAATGTCACCTGGGGCCTAAGGGTTAAGGCTTGCTTTCTCTACTGACATCTTGCATTTTTTAGTGACTAACCTATGTTTTCAGTTCCTTCATGATCTATGGTCAAACTAATTTTCAGCATGTGTGCATGGATGATTGATAAATTTGGAAATGCATCTCAGCGGGAAACTTGGATCCCTCAGCTGGCCTCAATGGAAAAATTGGCTTCATACTGTCTAACAGAGCCAGGTGCTGGTTCAGATGCTGGTGCTCTCTCAACATCTGCTAAAAGAGTTGGAGAGGATTTTATTCTTAATGGTTCCAAGGTGAGATATTAATAACTTTTCTACAGATATCATTCTCTCCTCCTCCCTTCTCTCCCTGATCAGCCAGCCAGTAGTGGTTATGCTGACCTGCAAGCAGCATTAGCCTAATTGATCAGCTTATTACCTGAAAAGTGTGGCCACAGATGTAGGTACTGTACTGAAGTTTACAGTCCTGGTCGAAAGTCCTTTGCCAGGCAGTTCTGGCTAACCCTGTTATGTGGCAAAGTTTGAGACATGGTGGAACTACTGGGCCCATTGCTTGGTGGTTTAAAGGGTACATTTCTTGTCTAGAAAGCTGTGTTACCAGCACTGTTAGGAACAAACCTCTGAATATTATGTGTCTCTATTTCATTGAGCTAAATCGAATCTTAACAGTTATTTTTAGCTAAATTGAATGACGAGAACCAATGTATTTAGGAGCACAGACAAAATGCCTCCCCACACACCTGCCATACTAGACCCCCATGCCCCCTCCCCTTTCCTACCGCTCTCAACCCAACATAACCAGTTTGTGAGGACGTAAGTCCTTAGAAATTAATTCAGGGCCATAGTCGGGGGAAAGCCTCCCAACAGAACAGTTGCACAATATTATCTATTTTTTGACACAGAAAATCAGGATGGCTAGAGGTAAATTATACTTACGCTTCCCTTCACTGGAACCTCAGACAGCAACGTAGAGAATGGTACGTGTGTTGGTCCTGGATCAGTGGACGCTGTTCCTGTCAAGGAGTGTTCGAGCGGTATTATGCGTCTTGCACATACAGTTAGCCGGAATCCTTCTTAACCGCAACTCTCCGATAGCTGGAATTGAAATTTTTTCGGGAAATCGTTCCCAAAGCCGGAATTTTCAGGAAAATTCCGGCTTTGGCAACAATTTTCCGAGGGACACATTTTCTGGAAAATTCAGAGAAAATTTTCCAAGTACGGTAAGTCCTCGCTTAACGTCGGCCTGCTTAACGTTGTTTCGGTACTACGTTGCTAAACTTTAAGAGACCAAAGATTCGTTTAACGTCCCGGTGACTCGGTACAGCATCATTTGAGTCTTCTTGGACTACTTTTTACCTTTTTCACAATATGTATTTAGGATGGTGTGTGCGTGTAAATTAATAAAAATAAATAAATAAAGTTACTCTATCTACCCAAAAATAAGTTAAAAAACATGTACAGTTACTTAAATGTACTTAAGGGACTAAATTTTTTATCTCTTGTGCAAAATATATGATGTCTATATTGATATTATTCACTGTCTTGCAAGGATTCCAGCAATGCAAATTATATTCTGCTAACTTTAGTCTGTAACATTTTATAGGATAAAAAATTTAAGCCTAAACCACCTTCAATCTTGCCGGAAGTGCGGAGGAGGAGGTGATGTATTATGACGCGGCCATCCAAGGTTACCTAGTGGTATTTATTTATCTGTCGTGTAGAGGAGCTTTGAGTTTTACTCTTATAAAATCTCAATGAATGTGACTTTATAGTAATGCATACCAGCACCTCACCAGGCATCACACAAGGGGAGTTTTGAATTTCTGGATATGTACTGTACTGTTTTTCATGGAGCAAAGGGAGGCTGGGGAATGTAACTCGCATATTTTATCTATTTCTTATGGGGAAAAGCGATCCCCTTAGTGTTGTTTCATATAACGTTGCATTTTCAGGAGACGTAACCCCGACGTTAAGCGAGGACTTACTGTACCCGGGAAATTCTGGAAAATTCTGGGGATGGGGAAGTTTTTTTTTGAGTTTGAGAGATGAAAATCAGGTGCATTTTCCAGAAATTCCGAGAAAAGTTTTTTGGTACCCACAAAATTCCGGGGATGAGGGATGTTTTCTTGCTTTGAGAAAGTCGTCTCGATACCCAGAAATCTCTCATTCCCGGAAGTGCTCTGCACCAATTGTTCCGGCTAACGGAGATATCACTATAATGATCGTCTATCAGGCTTAAGTATCCAGTACAAAAGAACAACAACACACATAACAGAGACTAGTGGAGCAGGTGTACACCCACTTAAGTCGACCAACCCTACAGTATTTTTTTTTTTTTTTACGGGATTAGCCCACCCGGGCACAGGTCACTGACCCAAATCAGGGCAGGGGGGGAGGATATTATAATAATAATAATAATAAAGAACCATAAAAAATAAAAAAATATAAAGATCAAAAGTGAGAAACTATATATGTATGTTGTGTTGTCAAAGTAGAGAAACAATTGAGACCCTGCAATTGTGTGTAAATGAGGCAGAAAGTCAGATCAGCAACCTGGGACTTGGTCACAATTTTCGTGATGCCATATGGCAGCAGGGTCTACCTATTGACAACACACTATGCTCCAATATCTTCCCAGGCGGTAGTACCTCCCTGTTTGGTAGCTGCCACCTACTTACTACCCAATAATGGTCTTGAAGGGAAAAGGAGTTCTTGCCACCATGTGATGAGAGAACAGGCGACATGACCCTGTTAATCCAAGAAACTGCCCTCCAGCCAGTACACCATGCACCTGACCAAACACACCTATCCAGACATACCCAAATGATTAATAATTACAAGACAACACCTGCCAGCCTAAGACCTCCAATTAAAGGGGCCTACAGCTCCTTCCAGAAGACAGAAAGAACCCAGAACCAGACGGAGTCACACTCAGTCACAAGTCCCAAAGTTGGGAGGAGGAACTCACTCCCTGATCCCCACTCCCCACCTGTTGGGTCACATGTGAGTCATTGTCCCAGTGATCCACGGTGGGAAGTGTATCCATTTCATGTTTGTGTCTGGGATTCATTCTCTGATAACATCAGTATAATGCCCTAGTAATGTATCCATGCCATTCAGTTAACTAATAAATAGCTGTACTTAAAATTGTTGCTTAGAAGATTCCCCCTCAGAACGAACACACACACACACACACACGCACTCACTCACTCACTCACGCACGCACGCACCCACCCACCTATTACTACTACTACGTGGCCTCCAGCCTCCCCCAATAGCCACACCTTCGCCACCATTTTATTACCTTATAATTAAATATCCTAATACATAAGTAGCTATCCTAGCTGTGTTGAGTTAGTTGAGCTGCAGTAATTGTTATATGTGGGGTAATTGTTAATGATGATAGAATGGGCAGTATTATTGTTTATTTTACAGTATTTGAATTTTGAAACCAATTCCTGTCATTAATTTTGTCATTGCTTACTGTGTACACTTCAAATGAACTTCAAAATACCATTTTCAAGATAAAGTATCTTCATGCTGTAAACAACTACATTGAGACTGAAGGCTACTTAACAAATGTGATAATTGTGCTCACAAATTTTGTTTTTAGAAGAATTAATATTGGGAAGAGAAATTAAATTCTTTTTTAATGGGTAGTGGAGAATGTCAGGAAACTGTAGGATTGTACACTGTAATGTGAGCTTGTCCAAGAGTAGTAAGTAATTGAATTTATCTGTAGGTACAGTACTATTCATATTGTCAGAAAATAAACTATGGAATTTTTGTTGGAAACAGGATCATGAAATTTGTTGGATACAGTAAAAGTCCAAAAATCCGGATGCCAGAAATCCGGACCACTCGAGAATCCGGACGTTTTGAAAACTTTCAAACTTTTTAAATTTAGTGGGCTTTTGTGGGTCACGTGAATGAATGGAGTTCCTTTAAAAAATTAAGTTACATAATTCTAATAATAAAAGTAATTGTAAATTATAGGTAGCTAATTTTGTTAGTTTTGTAATTAGCTTGTCCTGAAATGTAAAATTTGAGGCACTATAAATCTTTTGCGTGTATGTGTGCATGCGTGAACGCCACAGCGACAACAAGCGACCACGCAATCGGCACTTTTAAACAATCAATCAAACTGTGACAACGTATGTAATTTTGAGTCCTACTCTTTACATTTACAGAGTAGTGTACAAGCCCATAATAATGGCTCCTAAAGTAGATAAACTTCGTTGTGTGAAGAGAAAGAAGAACACATTGAAATTGAGTGACAAACTTGAAATAATTAAGAAACTAGAACGTGGTGTGAGCAATACTGTTCTAATGGAAACATACGACATTGGAAAGTCTACAATTTATGATATAAAAAAGGCAAAGAATAAAATTCTAGAAATCACAGCTTCTTCTGAGCCTTACATTAAAATTGCTGAAAGAAAAAGTTTACATCGGCCCAAATTAGAAAATCTTGATAAAGTGTTGCACGAATGGTTTTTGTTAAAACGATCAGAAGGTATGGCAATTTCTGGGCCGATGCTTATTGCCAAAGCAAAGTCTTTTAAGGAACAAATAAACATTGAATCAGAGTGCGCATTTAGTGATAGATGGCTTGGGAATTTCAAGACTCGTCATGGTATTAGACAGTTTGTTTACATTTTTGTCAGGTGTTGACTTTATTTTTCTTTAAAACTGCTTGTTTTGATAAATGAAGCATGCTATATTTGCTAATGAATAAACTATCAAAATGTACCTGTTCATCTCTTCTTTATTCCTCCTTAAATTTGAATTTTAAAAGTACTGCCTGAGAATCCGGAAAATCCGAAAATCTGGACCGACCCAATCCCCAAGCAGTCCGGATTTTTGGACTTCTACTGTAGTAAACTTAATTTACCTGATGGTCACCACAACTGGAGGTGGGCAGGATACTGTTGGCCTGTGTAGGATCCCTCATTGTTATGGTCCAGTAATGTTCCTGCTTCCATGGCTTCAGCTGGTAGACTTTTCCTTAGGTCTGACATTGAGTTTGTCATAGAATAAGTATTTAATTTGTTAGATTAATATTTTTCCAGAGATTAACCATTGACTTTGTCGGCAAATAAATAGGATTTTTTGAAGAGTAAACTACAGTACAAGGTATTGATTTTGATTAAGCTTAAACCATTGAGTTTGTTACAGAATGAATATTGAGTTTGTCAGAGAAGTAATATTTAAGTTTATCAAAGCATAAATGACTTAGTTTCTTAGAGAATAAATACAGAGTACTGTATTACAATTACTGTATCATTAAATGAAGAATGAGTTTCTCAGAGACAAAATCAACACTAGATGAATAAGTTACCAAGTGAGAAAGTTTCTCCATTTTTGGTACTGTTCTGATTTTTTCCATAGTAGTGTTTCCATTACAGCTGAATTCTGGTTTTACTTTTGAACAGGCATTCATTAGTGGTGGAGGTGACACAGACGTCTACTTGGTGATGTGTCGGACAGGAAGTGAAGGACCTAAAGGAATCTCATGTGTGCTGGTGGAGAAAGGAACTCCAGGTAAGTTTTTTGTTTTTTTTACAGGTTGTACCTCTCTAGTCCGGCAACCTCGGGACCTGACCGGTGCCGGACCATGGAAATTTCCGGACCATGGAAATTCACCCTTTTCCTGGATAGATAGTGACTTGTGCTTATGCTTGGAAGCACTAGCACCACTTTCTCTGCTTCATGGTCTCTTTGAAGACATATTGAAGGGTTAAATGTCGTACAGTAGCTTCTCAAATTTCGCGAGTTTTTAATTCGACGTTTTTTATTTGAACAAAAAAACAAAACAATTTAAAATTTTGACGGCGGAAACTCGAATTTCGACGTGTTTGAACGGCCCACCAACGTTCAGACGACGTGCACAATCATGTAAACAGCGTCATTTCTCTTATGTACAAAAGATTCATTATTGTTTATTACTGAATGTCTTTTTGATTGAATTAATGTTTATGTGTGCAAAATGAGCAATACAATTCATTAATAATACGTAGAATATTAAAACACACGAGGAAATGAGACAGCATTGTTTTCGTTGATTACAAAACCAGTGACTGACTGGTTCTACATATAAAACTGAAGAAAATAAGACCCTGGTTGTAGCTGTAGTAAAATTAATATGGTTGTTTTAAGTAATGTTATTTAATGTTAATAAATGGAACAATAGAAGTAGCTAACGATAATGGTAAAGAAAAAAGAGAGATCGCGTATGTAAGTGCGCACACGTGAAAACATATCGTCATTACTTTACATAAGAATATGAAAGCAACACTTATTTACTGTTCATATATATTTTAATTAATGTTTCTGAATTTTTTTATTGAATTAATGTTTGTGTGTGCAAAATTAACAATACAATTCATTAATAATATGAGGAGACGAGACGGCTGCCGGCATTGTTTATGTTAAAGCTTACAAAACCAGTGACTGATTGGTTCTACATATAAAACTGAAGAAAATAAGACCCTGATTGTAGCTGTAGTAAAATTAATGTAAAAAAATTAATATGGTTGTTTGAAGTACCTGTAATGTTATTTAATGTAATAAATGGAACAATATAAGTAGCTAACCATTAATGGTAAAGAAAAAAAGTGAGACTGCGCGTATGTAAGTGCGCACATGTGAAAACATATCGTCATTACTCTACATAAGAATATGAAAGCAACACTTATTTACTGCTCATATATATTGAAGGGTTAAATGTTGTACTCTGTATAGACAAGCAGAGAGAGAGAGAGAGCAGCCGAACTGCCGGATGTAAACAAACCTTAATTTCCCGCGGCTTTTTTTTTTTTTTAAGGGGATTAGCCCACCCGGGCATAGGTCACTGACCCACATTGGGGCCTGAGGGGCAAAAATTTAATACTCCTGTAATAATAATAATAATAATAATAATAATAATTCAGATTAAAAAAAAGAAAAAAAGAAAAAAAAAAAGCTGCCTACCTACCTATTGGACAAATTAAACTCGTTCCGAACCATGGGAGTTTCCTGACCACAGAATGCCGGACTAGAGAGGTACAACCTGTATTAGTATTATATGATGTCACCAAAGGCATCTTTTGTGGCTTGGACAACATTATAAGCATGATCAATAAGGGAAGCTTCATTCTCCAGCTTCCCTTCCTTTTTGCTGAAACCTTCTTATGTTATATGTCTCCTTTTACCCTGTGAAAAACCTTCTTTAATATCTTTGCCACGGTGATGTAGCCGGTCCGTCACAGGAGGCCCAGAGTGGCCGGCGGTGATTGCTACCCCCTAGTGGGAGTCGCCCTGATGTGGTGGGGTGTTTTGTGAGTCCCGAAGACCCAGTGAGCTGTACCAGAGGGGGGCTTGGTTCTTCTTCCTTCCCTCCTCTGAGGGAGGGGAAGGGTTTCCCAAACTGGGTGGGTCACTGGGGAGGGTCCAGAAAATGTCTCCTATCCTGTTGCTGGTTTTGAAAGCAGACCGGCAACATTGTCCCCAGGCCAGACTGGGGTTGGAATATTCTCCCACATGTTTGCCATGCGTGGCGTCCCATAATGCTGGGAGACGGGAATCCCAGAGGTTGAGCAACGCTGCACACTGCACTCTGCAGCTAGCAACATACTTCTTTGGTCCTTTATTTCAACTAGATGAGTGGCCGGTTGGGCCCGATCAAGTCACTCGGCTGGTCACAGTGTCGCTAGGGTCAAGCGGGCATCAGGTGGCCTGGCACTCCTATGGACTAGGAGCTACCGTCTTGGCCACCTGGTGGTTACCCACATATACTCCCCCACTACCCCTGGGGTCACCAGGGTTTTACCTCCCCTTGTTGGGCTCCATGGTGGGGAAGGGGGGGGGGGTGAAGTAATTAAAATTTTGTATGGAAGAAACAAGCTCAAATAACTGGCCAAATACTGTACTCCCCTAACGACCCTGCACCCGTCCTTGGACCTTCCTCTGGATCATCAGTTGCTACATTGTGGCACTATCAGATTGAGGAAAGTAACTCTGGGTCATGACAAATACCCAAGTATAAGAGCTACAGGAGGCCCACTGGTCCTGGCACCCTCCATAGTGCTTCTACCCATGAGATCTTACCAGGTGTGTTCAATCAGGTAGATTTTGCAAAATATCTAGTGCTCTGTACCGTGGAAGGCCAGCTTGTAATGGACCTGGACATTTTTGATGTTCACAGGTCAGTAATAATAATTTATGGGAGAGAACCAAAAATATTCACCCAGCAAGATGGTAGCCTCCTAGTGGAGGTCTCCTCCCCCTAGTAAAGTGCTCGACTCCGTACCCTGTCTGAGGTGCCTGGTGCCCCAGTCTCCTGTACTCCACATGCCACCTTTAACCAGTGTCTAGGGGCGGTATTCTCAAAAGAGTTGTACCGATACTCAGAGGAGAAGCTTCCAGAGGAGCTCCAAGTCCAAAAGTTGGTGAAAGTGGAGAGGTTCCACAAGAAAGAAAGTGGCATTCTTAACCCTACACCAACTCTGTTATTGACCTTTGACTGCTTTGAAACTCCAGTCTCTATCAAGGTTGCCTGGATCTCCCTAAAGGTGAAACCATCATGTCCCAACTGTAGATGATGTTTCCATTGTCAGTTGTATGGCCATGTCAGCCACACTTGTCGTAAGTTAGAGCAGGGTGCTCCTGCAGTAAGTGTCAACTGTGGTAAGGCCCATGAGGGTCAGAAATGTCCGGATCCGGTCTGCTGTTTTCACTGTAGTGAGGCTCACCCGGCCTCTTATAGTGATTGTTACCGGTTCTGAATTGAGGAAGAGACACTATAGAACCACACGAGAGACAAAGTGAGCTTTGCTGAAACCAGAAACACAGCACTGAAATATATCTCAAGGCTTGGGGATTCCTATACACAGGTTCTATCCTGACCCGTGTCAGCAAACTGTTGCTGTGACACTGTCCCAAGAATCATCTGTACCTGAATTCAGCTTCCACACCCAACTCTATGCCACCAATCCTCAGTCTTCAGATTTCTCTTCTAGTTGCTGAGGTCCATATGGATTAGGCAGTCACAGCTGCTACTCCTCATTTTTCCTCCACCTGTAATCCTGGTACTACAAAATTTTCAGCAAAACTCTACCAAGGATCCTCAGAGTCTCTGGGGGTATCGATGGTAGCATAGTCAACTGTTGTGAAGAAAGCGAGACATCTATGCTAGCTTAAGAACCAAATTCTGAGTCACAGACACTCCAACAGATGTCAGCTCAGGGACCTCCTACCACAGGGAGAGTCTGTAACTACTGTATGTCACTACCTACTTGTTAGTAGTAATTTAGATTTAATTCTTGTACGCTACCCAGGCTCTGGTGGGTGCTAACTCCCAATGTCCTTAAATCATATAAGCCCGGCATGACTAAACAGACGCTCACTAGCAGCAGATGCAGGTAGTGGGGTGTTAAGCTTCAGAGATAAGTCACATAATGTTGGGAAAGACATCAGTCGCTCCATTCCGTCCTCTGGTCATACCAAGTAGCTATCAAGCTCCTTCAGTTGAGGAGTTTGTGGATGAATGTTTCCTCCATAGTGACCGAGTCTGACAAAGACTCACCGTGAACTGTCCCTCTAACAGGGGTGTGACTGTGATACGTCACTTTTTGATTCTAATTGATGAGTGGCTGAATTTTTTGCACCACTTGACATCGGGGGGGGGGGGTGGTACTTAATTATTTAAGCAATTTTAAAGACACAAAGTCTCACACACACATATATGTATAGATAGAGGCTTTATATCTATGATAGAATTATGTAAATCATTTTAGAATCACAGCCTCTCTGAAATTCATTTTAGGTACAGTTATATACAAAGAGTAATTGATGTCTAATGGGAAGACCAAACCCCCGAAGGAAAGGTGAAGGAGAAGAGAGGGAATTCAATGGGGGAGGGGAGGTCACATACCGAGAGGGTACGGTGTGGGGAGACACCACACTGTACCCTTCACAGCTTCACCCGCAACATATCCTCCACCACACAACTCTCTTACTATGGTTAATAATTAAATAAAAAATATATTATTAGTTTGTCACAGGCTTTGAAACTGTTTGGGGCATGTAATGAGCAACACTTTTTGTTTTTTCAATTGTATTGGAGTAAAAGAATTAGAAAAACATACTTAAGTAAAAGTTGGCTTTTGAGCCAACTGGGAGGAGCTCCAGTCGCTCCTAAGTAAATTCTCCCCTATTTGCATTTGTCTTCAGGAGACAATGTTTGTTGACTATGATCATCTCCTTCCCAGAGGTTATAGATATTTTACAGTGGTTGTTTCTCATCCAACGTTGGGGCCAGAAAGTCAGTTTTTGCTGGGTTCCGTCCCACGTGGGGGAGAAGGGTAATGAGCATGCTGATGCTGTTGCAAAAGCAGCTGCTTCTCGCCCTGTGGCACATTGTTCACCTCTACTTGACTCTGTTATGAAGATTGTAATAAGAGCTGCTATGCGCTTGAGTTGGCATTGTAGGTGGGATGCTGTCAGAGCAAACAAGGTCCGGGACATCCACCCAGCATTGGGTGTCTGGGGATATCAGGGACTGTCATGCCGCCGAGAGACTACTTTGGCCCGCCTCTGTGTTGGTCACACACGGCTGACTCATGGTTTTTTAATGGAGAGGTGGAGAGGGCGCCTCCCTCCTATTGTGGTGACTGCCTGGTTCCATTGACTGTTCGACACTTCCTTGTGGAGTGCCCCAGTTTCAGAGATCCTTGTTGTAAGCGCCTCTCCTGGTGGCAAGGGGAAGCCGGGTCTTACTGTCTCTCTTTGGTGCTGGGGGGAGGAGTGGGTAACGTGGGAGGGAATTTCCTCTCCTTTGTGGAGGAAGCCGACCTTCTACACAAGCTTTATATGGTTTTACAAAAGCTCTATGTTACCTGTATTTATTTCTTATGTTTTTTTACCTTGCATGATTTGATTTTAATCTTTTAAGCCTTTATTTTAATTCGGCTTTATATGACCCGAGCTGTTGCGTCGCTCGGGATGTAACTACCACAATCAATCACTTATGTCCTGGGTCCTTTAAACACAAAAGATAGACTGGTGTGGTGACCTTGGAGTGCAGTCTACATAGTTGCCCGATCACGCTGACTTTGTCAAATATGTGTCTTCCTTGTCTAGCATTCATAGGCAAACATAAAATTATTGTATTTTAATTTTTTACTTCATATGCAAATTTGTGTATGGAAACCCCAAAGTGATAATTTATATCATACTCAATTTTGCTTATGAAAACTCCAAGAGTGTTAAGAATGCTTTTACTGAATTATTGTCAATGCATAGATGGAAAATTCTAGTGAAACAAATTTCATTAGTTAATTATGATATACAGGGTACCAGGGTTGTTATGATTTAAATCAAATGATTTAAATCAGAGTAAAAAATCATGATTTAAATCAAAATGATTTTTTTACTAATAACTGCTTTCTCATTTTATTCTACATGATTGAAAAGTATATGCAATACAGCAGGCTAATAACATTATTTGGATATACATAATTATATACTGTACTATAGTCTGTTCTCTCCAGTTTTGCGAAACTTTGATCATATCATAAGGTCTCATTATTAATGTATATACATTTATTTACATGAAATATATTGTTAACTAAGATAATAAATACTATTGAAATTCAGAAGAACTGTAGTATTCTCTTCTCCCGGCATTATACATCAGTCTATAAGGAGCAAGGGGCTGTAAATTTTTGCAAAGCTAGAGTGAACAGGCTGTAGGCACTCAGCTATACATATTCAGGTATTCTATTTTTATCACTTAGTATGTTCTTTTTAAACAACATAAGTATTATTTCTGATCATAATTTCAATAATTATATTAATTTTAGAGAGTGGAGAAAGTATTCTTAATATAGGTATGCTATAACGAATCTAATTGGTTCTAGAACCTCGTTCGTTATAGCATTCGGTTATAGGATTAATCCGCCCAGGCCCCCAAATACAACCACTTAACACTGAAAAATTTATGTGGAAATTGTAAAAATACGGTACTTTATCTTACCTTAGTGTTGTTCAGCATACAGGACAGGAGGCAGAGGGGGAGGGGGAGGAGAGAATTATGGAGAAGAGGTGGAAGGAGAGGAGTCATCCTTCCTAGCCCTCTTTGGTGACTGTCTTACAGGCACTTTGTCTGTTTATTTATAATTTCTTTCTTAGTTTTAAGGGTTATTAGCTTTCTCACTCGCTTTTGACGATTCAGTGTTATAATTGTACACTTGTATAACAAAATAGTTATAAAAATAACACGAATTTCCACATCAAAAGACGAAATTTCAACAAGTTCAGTGGTGCACTGACTACACAATGAACCAATATGGCGCCCGACGCTCTTGCTGTGAGCCGCGGTACAACAATATTCATGCGCCAGACGAAATAGTCCCGTATTCATCCGCGTTCGTTGTAGGAGTTGCGTTCGTTATAGCATTCTCAATTTGATAGGTAAAATCGTTCGTTATAGGAATATTCGTAGTAGAATCCGTTCGTTATAGCATACCCCACTGTACAGTACTGGTAGTTGCATCATGCATGTGTGTTTTGTTCTTTCCTGTACTGATCCTGTCAGTACAGGCAGTTGTCTAATGGCAAATCACTAATATATTTTCTTATACCCAGTACGTATGTTAATCACTCATTGGTTTGTCAATAACTTATATTGACTGGTATAATTAAAGAGTAATAGGTTATGATTGTGATTAAATTAATCTAAAAGAAACATTAATTATAACAAAAATAGATACAATAGTTGGTATCTCATACTCTAGCAGAAGCTCATATCTAAGCTCCCACTCATTTCTGCTGCACTCCCACTCCCAGACTTCATACAAGCTGTCACCTCTGATTTATGCACTGTTATGTATTTCTTTGTATTTTAAAATTATATGGAACTATTAAGTGTTAATTAAATATGCCCACTGGACGAATTGCAGCAAGTGGGAGGAAAAAGGACCCACTATGGTATTATTTTGACAGAATTCCTAAGGGCAAAGGTTTCAGAGCCAAATGTAAGAAGTGCAATCAAGAAATTCAGGGTATTGTAAGCAGAATGAAGAAGCACATGGAGATCTGCCAAAAGCAGACCAGCACCCTATCTTATTATTGTATTAAATTCCATTGGTACATCTACTGCATAAATATCTTAATGCCAATTTTCTGTTTATTATCCTGAATAAGCTTTGGTTGAAAAATACTGTTTTTATGGTTTAAAAATACCATTTTAATGCAATTAGTAAAAAATAAAAACATCGATTTAAAAAAAATCCGATTTAAATCAAATAAATCGATTTTTTTATTAAAAAAAAAATCATGATTTTTTCCAACCCTGCAGGGTACAGGTGCTGGTACAGTATAATTATAAGTGTAGCAGTGTATACAGTATATGGCTCTTAAATCTCACTGTTCTTCAAAGATGATTGTTTATAAGAAAAATAATACAGTCTTAGTGCTTTGTCTTTAATTTGAGTGTCTGCTTAGCCTAGATAATACTAAAATATTTCCTCTTAATAACTAGAAATAATGTTAAGATATTCAAATGCATGTGAATGAATAACATTGATGATTGATCTTGGTTCTCTCAGGGCTCAGTTTTGGCAAAAAGGAGAAGAAAGTAGGATGGAATTCACAACCAACTCGGATGGTGATTTTTGAGGATTGCCGTGTGCCGGCCTCAAATATAATAGGAAAGGAAGGTCAAGGCTTCAGCATTGCTATGAAGGGACTGAACGGAGGCCGCATCAATATTGGTAAGAAATTTATAAAAAAAAAAATGAAGTTGTGAGGGTATGGTAATAGGATGGACATTAAATTGAAACTGGAGTCACAATATAAACTACTGTAATAAATAGTTCCTGATAGTAGACAATTTCAAAGTGTAATATTAAGACTTTGAACATTTTCAGCATCTTGTTCACTAGGGGCAGCTCATGCTAGTATACAGAACGCTGCTGACCACACCAAGGTTCGCAAGCAATTTGGGAAACCTCTTTCAAGTTTTCAGGTTGGTTGTTAAGTTTTGCTGCAAGTTTCCATTACATTTCTACAGTATTTCTTCTCCCTTGCTTGCTCTCATATGTTGAGGCACTCACCTACATGCACACTACACATACTTGCATGCTATCACACACACATTTGTATTAATCTGGACACACATACAGTATATGAATACAGTACTACCTCTATATACCGAACCGTTTAACCAACGCTTGAATAGCCAACCTCTGCAATATCCGGGGATGGGTCCGATCAGCTGTTTGCCGTGTAAGCAGCTGTTAAACGTGGCAATGTACCATTAGAAGTGGCAGCTTCTTCAAGCCAAAGCCTTATCAGACAGCTACAGCTACACCATCAAGTGTAACCATTCCCAGCACATCAAAGTCAGACATCGGTTCCCCAAAAGAACATCAACCACAAGTTCAGGTGGAGTCTTCTTCAGACTAGGAATAACTACAGTACTGTACTGTTGTAAGTTCATTTGTTTATGACAGAGAGAGAGCAAGTGAGCGGGTGAGTGAGATAAAGATGATTGTACTGTACGTATTGTTATCTCTGTATTACAGTACAGTATATGTACTGTATATTGTACCTGTATTTACATATATTTGTACCCTGTACTCTCACGTATGATAATTACTTAACTCAAGTGATTATCTTATACTGTACACAGTAACATATTTTTGGTACAGTACCTCTATTATCAGACTTATTGGCTTTTCCGACCCACCCCTCCCCTCATATAGGTCGGTTAAACGAGGGGTTACTGTATTATCCTCTACAGCCCACTGAGATGGGAGGCCAGGAGGGCCATTTGGCCCGGGCCTCAAGCTCAAAGAGGCCTGACATTTTTATTTTATTTATTTTTTTGTGTATACTGTATAATGATTCAGTTGCAGGTACACCACCGATTTTCCGGGAACTGTTGGTCCGGCACTTAACTTCCCCTCCCTCCCTCCCTGCCAGGGTGAAGGTAGTTTTAGGCTTAAAGTTTTTATTTTATAAAATGTCACAGACTAAACTTTGCAGAATTATGACTTGCATTGCTCTAATCCATGTATGATAATGATAAATTTGAGCTTAAACATCACACAGTTTGTACAAGAGATAAAAATCTTAGTCCTTTAGAGTAGTACACAAGTGATCGTGGGCCCTTGGTGCCCGGTGGCGAGTCCAGTGGTACAGTTTACTGAGGCGTGAAAGTTCGAACGCTGGTGCTTGGCTAGCGCGCAACCGCCATCTGGCTGACAGCGTACAGCGACATCATTTTCTAGGGTAAATAAAATGGTTAATTAATGCCTTCCTAAAGAAACCATCGACATGGGACCAGGTTTGTTCCACTCTACGAATTTGTTTGCGATTTTTCCACCAAGTTTGATGAAAAGTGCTGTTTTGGCTGCCCAGAACAGTCAGTCAGCTGTCTGTCTGTCTGTCTGTCTGTCTGTCTGTCTGTCATGTTAATTGCCATATTGTCTATTTGTGCATGTATGAATCTGTCTATTTTTGTCAACCTCCTGTCTGTTTCACTGTCTGTATTCACCCTGTGTCTATTGTAGTCATGTCTGTCTGTCTGTATGTATGTGTCTGTTTGTATGTATGTGTCTGTCTTATATGTTGTCTTTGTCTTTCATAAGTCTGTCTATCTGTCTGTCTTTCTGTGTGTCCTTGAATCTGTCTGTATTATGTCCTTTGTTTGTCCGCTTCTCTCTCTCCACTTTTATCCGGTCTATCTCTATCTTTATTTATATATCTCTATGTCTCTCCATTACACTACTCATCATATTTAGCACTTTTTCTTCCTTATTGAATAGGTGATTTTAATATGGTATTCTGGGAACTTTAAAAAACACATCCCTCCATTCATACCTCCACCTCTGACTATCCCTCTCTCCCATCTCCTTTCCTCGCTCGCCTCTTAAGGATAATAATTCTTCAGTCTCTCTTCTTCTCCCTTTCTATCTTCTCTATGCATTCCTGTTATTATCTTTTTATCTCTTCTCATTTTCCATGTACGGTCAGCCACAGAAATAAGTATACACTGAAGCTGTAAGGTCGTCTGGTAACTTTGAAACTGCGCATCCAGACGCATGATGAAACTCAGCTCCCCCCACCTGTTATCTCTTAACTATTTTCTGTTTCCCCTTCTTTATTCTTCTATTTACTCATCTTCCTTCCTTTACTAATCCAAACAACATAAAAAAAAAAAGTAGGCAAAGAGAAAAAGTGGGGGGAGGAGGAGGGAACCGTCCGATAACTGCAATCGTGGGCTGACAGTGTACAGCGACATCTTTTGCCAGCGTAAATAAAATGGTTAATTAATGCCTTCCTAAAGAAACTATCGACATGGGACCAGGTTTGTTCCACTCTACGAGTTTTTTGCGATTTTTCCACCAAGTTTGATGAAAAACGATTGTGCCGTTTCGGCTGCCCAGAACAGACAGACAGACAGACACACGTCTAGTCCTATAGTATATTAGATTTGAGTACTAAGTGTGGACAGTAATTTTGCTCAAAATTATGGCATTTTCACATTTAATTTACATTTAATATTTGTTTAATTTAAGTTTCTAGCAGTCCATGGTGCTTTAGAGACATGGAAGGTGTTGTAGGGTTATGAGATATTTGTTTGCACTCAGGATGGGATGGAGAAAGGAAACTCACAATGTGCTCCCTGTATACATATTGTATTGGATGTACAATGCAGCTTGTTGCTGGGTAGGCAGCATGGTTACAAGCTTTGAGTAGAGAGAGCTGGTTGGTGAGGGTGCTCAGAGGAGGGCACGCAGCTTGAGGGATGCCAAGGTCGCCGGCGGGAGCGGGAGCCGCCAGGCTGGAGCGGAGGAGGTGGTGTTGCTTGCTGGTGGCAGTAGGTAGAAAGAGGGTGGTCACAGCGGTGTGAGGTCTTACAAGGTGGGGGTAGGCGTGGGTTGATAGTTGAGCCCCGCTCCGTCAGGCGGCGCTGGAGGCGTAGGCTGGGGAATTCGAAGAGGGTCGTCTACTCAGCGACAAATGGCGTTTGTAAGGGAGGAATTCACTACAGTGTATAATTACTGGGTCAGAGGTGTACAGTATTGTTGAATTATTATTACCTGACCTCGGTTGGTCCGGCAAAATGGATAATCCTGCAAGGCTTTGGAACCGAGGGTGCCAGAAAATTGGTGGTGAACCTGTATTTATTAATTTATTTATTTAATTTGCATTTGATAAGATTCACAACTTAAGTCCATGACCCAAAAAAGTTCTTGGCCTTCATCAGTAGTTACTGTATCCGATTAATGAGTCAACGACCACTTTCCTCCCAAAGATTTAAAAGGCACGCTTAGGTTGTTGTGGCACTGGTGGATAGTGGTGGTGGCCACTGGCATAATTCATAATTAAAATTTTACAAGAAAAACTAAAGAAATTGCTGATCAAACACTAACAATTATGGAAACGAGTGTGTGGTGGGTAGTGGAGAGGAGGGTGGTGAGTCACTCAGACCCGGAGGGTTTAAAACCTCCTTTTTTGTAGCAAGGTTGATGGTCTTGCATTCTTCTTCACAACACTAGCATGACTAGCACTTGATGGAAGCCTAACAAAGACTGGGGATGCTGTGACGCTCCGTGAGAGAGAGCGCAGTGCGCCAAGATGAGAGAGGGTGACGAGCTGTACAAAGTAGTCCGTGATGACGTTATAACGAAACAATGTTGTCTGGGACAACTATTATTGTTTGGCTCGATCAGAGTAGAATGTTCTGGAATCTCCCAGGCGTCTCTGGGTGATTCTAGGAAGTTCGAGAAATGTCTGACGAGGCATATATAAGTGGGCGCAGGCTGCCTAGGGGCAGTCAGTCGGTTGCTTCCATCCATAGCTGCTGGTTACCAGTGGTGGAAGTTGAGTAAGTGGTGAAAGGAGAAAGGTCATAACAATATGTAATAAGTAATTTGCATAAAAATTAAGTGACAAGCCAAATAATAAGATAAAAATAAGTATGTTCCTGTATATGAAGGGTACTGGTATTAATAAGCTCAAATTATTACAGTCACATATCTTTACTAATTATTAAATAACAAATAAAGAATATTTAGTTGAGTTACAGAGGCAGGGGGGGGGAGTTTAAGTCTTTTGTTTATAAAATGTCACCAACTTGACTTAGCAGAATATAACTTACATTTCTGGAATTCTAGCAAGATGGCAATTAATTTGAGTATAAAGATCCCATAGTTTGCACTTGACATAAAAATTTTAGTATTTAATTAACTCAGTTCATTTGAGTATTGTACAGGGTGTGGTAATTTATGCGTTGTGGATGCAATTGCGAAGCTTTGGGACATCACTAGTGTCTAATGTGTCTCATCACTAGTGTCTAATGTGTCTCATCACTAGTGTCTAATGTGTCTCATCACTAGTGTCTAATGTGTCTCATCACTAGTGTCTAATGTGTCTCATCACTAGTGTCTAATGTGTCTCCATATTCCCTGGTTTATTCATTGATCAGTTGTCTGAGTGCAAAGGTAGCCAAATCGAGCCATCATGTATCAAATAATTTCTAAATATAAATTCTAATGTAAAATGTTATAAGACAATAGTTTAGTAGTGGTGTTAATGTGTGTGCTGTGTAAGTGTCTTGGCCTGTCACCTCACCTACTGCCTTGTCACCTCACCACCTGACTCGTCACTTCACGACTTGGCTGGTCACCTCATCCTTCGCCTCAATAGCACAGCTCGGTCAGTTGCATTGATTTGTTACTGTATTATTTTACTTTTTTAGTATTGGATGTACATATAAAGAAATATTAATGTTTGCACAGTAATTATAATTAGACCATGAGCAGAAAAATCCAGCATTACCCAAGCGGTTGGTCTTCCCCCCGCACCAATTACGTGAGGACGCGGCTAAACATGATGGAATCTTTCATAACGCTGGGTATCTATGTCCTCAGGCCCAGAGCAGAAAGGTTTGGAGTGATTTTCTCGCCATTTTCTCAGATTTTCCGGTAATTGTTTTATAACATTACAGTAAGTGCTCGCTTAACGTCGTGGTTCCGTTTCTGAAAACCGCGACTTTAACGTAAACGACGTTAGCGGAATCAATTTTTTCCCATAAGAAATAGATAAAATACGGGAGTCACATTCCTGAGCCTCCCTTTGCCTCATAAAATACATTACATATACAGAAATTCAATGCCATTTTTATAGAAAATAGTATATATACAGGTATATATATAAAAGACTTAATTATTTTGTATTGTACTCACTGATGGGCGGAGGTGGTGGAGTGAGTGTGTGGCAGGTAGTGAAGCAGAGGAGGAGGAGGTGGGTGGTGAGTCACTGAGACCTGGCGGGTGGCTCCTCCTCCCGGTTTAAAACCTCCATTTTTGTAGCAAGGCTAATGGTCTTATGTTGCTTCTTCACAACACAAGCATCAGTAGCACTTGATGGGCGCTTGGAAGCCATTTCGAATGGTTAAGAGTTCAGTATTAAGAGCAAAAAACACTTAAAACACGCACGAACGCTACGGAAGCATAACAAAAACTGCCGTCGTTTGAGGGCGCTGTGACGTTCTACGAGTGAGAGGTAGTGTGGCAACACAAGAGAGGGTGATGCGCCATAAAAAGTAGTCCGTGACTACGCTAAAAACGACATTATATTGAGTCGTCTGGACGTTAACCTAATTATTGGTATCTAAAGAGTAGTGACGTTATAACGAAACAACGTTACCGGGGGCAACATTAAATGAGGACTTACTGTATTTATCTTTTTTATACATTTAGTCCATTCACTGTAGTCGGATACCTGTTCTTGATTCCAGCCACCTTACATCAGAGTGACAAAGGGTTTACTCGAGTAGGAAAATAAAATCACTGCTTTAATTTTTATGATTAATTTGTTGAATTGTTAAATAGATTACAGTATAATGCTTAGTTCCTGTATTACAGAACAGTCAGTTTCGCCTGGCAGAGATGTCAACCGAGTTAGTGGCTTCACGGCTATTGGTGCGTAATGCTGCTCGAGCACTTCAGGAAGATCACCCAGATGCTGTTACTCTCTGCTCCATGGCAAAGTATTATGCTACTGAAAAATGTTTTAATGTAAGTACAGTACAGTATAGTATACACTAATAGTATTTATACCCAAAATATATATATATTTGGGGTTACATATATTTGATGAGCTGTGTTGTGTTCCACATACTGTTTGGTAAAGGATTAACACTTGCTTGTTCTTACCTCAGGAAAACATAGCCCAGTTCATGTAGTTGACTACATAGTACCTTCCAGTTGCATTATCTGTAATTTTTCCTGCAGATTTTTAAGAATTAAGGTTGAATCAAATTGTTCAGTAGGGGGAGTGCCTTACGAATCAAGTAGCTCACAAGTAACTTCTCCGTCTTGAGAAGCACCTTGTTGTGACAATACTTGATCATTGAAGCACCTGTAGACTTTGTGATGTTCATGTGTTCTTTTATCTTGGCTGTATCCTTCTTTATCGTCCGGATCGTAGATTCGTTCACACCATGCTGGCGCGCCAAATCAACCTGTCTTATTCCTTTCTCCAACTCTCGGATGATCGTGTACTTCACCTCGTAGCTTAGGGCACGTCGTATTTTCTTTGGCTTAGGGCGGCTGGGTCCAGGTAATGCACGGTGTAGCCGGGAGGGGTGTAACTGACGCGGGTAGGTCAACGGGCTTCATCGCTCCCGCGGCAGGGCATGTCATATTACATTAAACCAATCACAGCTAGCGGGGAGGGAGGTAAGGATGCGTGGCCCAATCACAGTCCGATACGTCATATGACGTCACCGATAACGCAACAAAGACATACACTGCGCAACCTACTCGCTCCGCTTACCCAACATGGCGGGAGAGATGGCGGGAGGTTTGAATCCAAAAATGGCGCGGCGCGAGATGACCGCCAGCCGCTCTCCGCATATATGTGTAGATGCACCGCATAAAGTGAACATTCCGGTTCTGGCAGGGTACCGCGTAAATGTAGAAACGCGTAAAAAAAAACCGCGTAAAGCGGGGTATTACTGTATATACAATACAATACATAAATACAATCACAAACAATTTTTTTTTAAATGCGAGTCTTCCCTCAAGTCCATGCTTTATTTACGGACTTGAGGCCACTGTTTTGTGAATTTATTCTAAATAGAGACATACTGTCTGTACTACAGTACAATACTGGAATCTGAGGAGCAGTTTGGTATTCAGTAAGATCTCATATTTTGCGAGCACTACCTTCTGTAACCAAGTCTTATATTTGGCATAAAATATTGTGAATTTCGCGAGTTCCAGCCAGCTGAACGCGAGACCCAGCAAGCTGAATGCTAGCCACTGTCTTGAATGACGTCACAGCCTTCATACCAGTTACAGTCATTTCTGCTACAACGTGTGTTTTGTCAACTCGAATTGGTTGTAGCGCGATTGATGAATAGGGGAACGCTGTTTGTAAGATGCTAACTTTTGCATATGCATTTTAGCTATAACATGATTCCATCCACAATGTTTTAAGCGTGGTGCGGGGTTACGCAATGTTTATAGTTCACGTTCGACATCACATATTCAATTGATTCGTGTCTTTTGTTTGTGAAGTGTTTTTTGAGAGGTACTCTGTAAATTTTGTATTTTATTTATTTTATTTATTTTTTTTGCAAATTTAGCTGTTACCCATAAATACTGTATGAAAAGAAGTAAGTAAAATAAGTAAAAAGAATGTTTCGCAGTGAAGACTACTAACGGTTTACCCCAGCGTTCTCTGTTTACATCACGTAGTCAGTTGAATCGCGTGGTTTTTGTCGATTTCTCCGTGATTTTCGCGGTTTTCTCCAATTTTGTAGTATTAGCGATGAATATGGAAAGACAAGGTAAGAAGAACTTTTTCAAGAAGCGTTCTGGTGATCGAATTGCCGATGGTGAACGTAAAAGAGGTTTACAAGAACGCAACTATCACATTGTAGCCCGCGCCATCCTAGCGACCACCCGGGCTGCTATTGTGTGCTTTTTTGGGTGGTGCTTCCACCTGTCGAGTCAAGATAATGGCCTCTACTGGGGGTCCTACTGGTGCTGGTGGGGGTGGGACAGACCCACCAAAGCGGCCAAATAAGGAAAAGGAGAAGCAGGACTATCATAAGGGAGTTAAGTTTGCCAAGTACTCGATGCAGGATTAGCAGTGTGTGATTAAATTACTTGAGGAAGGCCTAAAAACTAGTTTCCGGAAAGCACAATCAGGTCAATAAAGGCAGAATTTGTATCATTTGGAGGTTATAAATGGGAAAATCAGAGGATGATGTAGAGTGGCCAGTCTATATTGTTATTTTTCCCATTAGTTTATGTATTTGCATTTGGCTAATTTGAATTTGGCGCAATTTTTCCAGTCTATATTGCTTGTGAAATACAAGGTCTTACTGTACTGTATAGTGAATTTCAGTATATAGAAGTTCAGTATGTAAAGGTAATACTGTACGTGTTGGTAGACCAGTTTAATATGATTAAATTTGCATGATAAATCTCGTTCCCATTCATGTTAAATCAAGGTCTACTGTATCTTGTGCTACTGCTACAGTCCATTTTAATTTTCAAGACCAATCCATCATCTTGCCTTAGTTTTCAGCTGACTAACCACAAACATATGTAGAAAAATGTTTTTTAGGATCAGCCCTCCATTTTTAGCCTGCCAGGTTTCCAGGATTTATATCTTAGTATATTTGTATTGAATTCAACAATTTCTTAGTGTGATAGAAATAATGTAGGTACTGTATTTGTATTCACAGATCATCAATGAGGCCTTGCAGCTCCATGGAGGGTATGGCTACTTGAAAGATTACAGTGTTCAGCAGTACTTGAGGGACACAAGAGTTCATATGATATTAGAGGGAACTAATGAAGTTATGAGGATTCTCATTGCTCGGCATGTCCTGTCTGACTGAAGATATTTTGTAAAGTGATCCCTGGAATAGTATTAGCAGGTTACATGTCTCAGGGATAAACTTATACAGTACATCTAACATGCACTGTACTGCACATGGTTCCCACACAAATGAGAGTTTTGTTCCCCAAATTTTCAAAGACCAATCACTGATTTTTCCTATACCAAAATGTGTAATGTATCTTACTGTACAGCATAACAACTTGCTGGATGACAAAAAATGTACAGCAGTTAATGTCACTAGAAATATACAACAAACTTGTCTTATTAAGTTTCTACAGTAATTTTATGTACTATGGTGGACAAAAATCCCTTCCCTCAGCCCTCCCTCTCTTTCCCCCTCAGCCCTCCTTCTTTTTCCTCCTCTGGCCCCCATCCCCCTTTGGTTCTCATCCCCTGCCATATGCAATACACAGTGCGCCATCTGTTGGACGATTACAGCACTTCCCTCAGTTGCCTCATTATTCGAACCTCAGGGGATTCAGTCACATTGTGGCTGGCTGAGGGAAGGAACTTTTGTCCACCATAGTACAACTGAGAAGGTGACTTCTTCCTTCCTTTACGGCCAGAGGGTCCACCCCTCTCAAGAATGTATTCAGTACAGTACATTGGCAGCTATTTATTGGTAATTTTAACAACACATAATGTACAATAAGATTTTTATTCCCCAAATCAGTATTTACAGCAGTAAGCATTGAAAGTGTTCACCAGCAATTACCTGAAAGCCTTATACACATAACATAAAAGTATTGAGCCTTGGAAGGAGAAATGCTTGCAAAATGACAACTAACACAGTAAAGATTATTGAAAACATTCATAGCCACACTAATAATACCATTGACTTTATTGTATTATGTACTGATCTACAAATTATTTGTTGAAGACTGAAGCTTCCATGACCTCTACATTTTTCAGAATTTTCCATTACTTTTCTATGGGAACCTTGAGTGTAATATATCTGGTGGGTTTCATATACTGCCAAGCTAAGTAGGTTGTGATGCACATGTTTGACTTGTCAACTACTCTTTAACTCTTAAAGAGTTATATACAGTACTGATGAATTGTCACTTTCATATTTCTATAAAGGACTTACAGGTAGAGATTACTGTACTGCAATGTTCTTTGGCTAATGTCTTCCTTACAAACTACAATTAGTGGTACAGTAGCTATGAGGTATTTAGCAGGTACAAATCTCTTCTTTGGTACTTATATTTAAAGAAAAAATATATACATGATACTATACTGAAAAAAATAGGCACTCACTTTATACTTAAAATTATCAATTAAGGTCTGTTTACATTTAGCCCACTGCTTACTGCATTTGTGATATGTTAGAAAACAGTGATTTTATTATTTCCTGTAGTTTCATGTTTAATCTCTAATGCTCTAATAATAATTATGTACATAGAATTAGTTTACATATGAATATTGATACAAGATATTTTATATACAGGTATGTACCGTCTTTCATTTGTACACCAACAGTCTAAGGATTTGAGGAAACTAAAATGTTCATATGAACTGTTAAACTGTACACAGTATCTTGTTAACAAAGGGATGCATAAATCAATTGTATATTATAATATATAAATTCGTTAATGAACACAGTGACACTGACAAATATCAAAAGTATGAAAATACTCTTTTTTTTGCAACAGGGTGTTCCTTTTAAAATCAAATGCTTGTAATTTTAACACTTTTAAAAACTAACTGTCAATATGATACTTAACACCAGGGGGTATTTTATTTCTGAATGCCACTTTGCATATTCTCCTGGATTAATCAATTTTATAGGCAAAGTTTACTCCCCTTAAATCCAGGAATTTAAAATAAATACCCCAGTATTCATGTAAAAGAGATTTATTGAATACAGTAGTTTTGTTTTGTATAAAAGATAGCACTGAGATGCATATGATTGCAATACAGTACTGTAAACACAAACAATGAATCACAATATGTACTCTTTTCACATCAAGTTGATCTTGTACCTTGTAGGAGATAATACTCCAGTGTATGACTACTTGGTATTTTGTGTTTAAACCAAGAGGTATGGCTCTATTCTATAATACAGTACAAGTATGCCTCTATTTATGATGGGGTAAGGTTCTTGAAACCCTCATCACAGGTCAAAGTATCATAAAGGAGGATCATTATAACATGGGGTTCAATGGGATAGGTTCCTGCCCAGTCAGTCACCCACGTCACCAAAAAAAGAAAAAAAAGAATCCTGTAATACTACTGTGTACAAAACTACATCATTAACCTCCACCTTTATTGAAAACAAACATATCCCTCATCATACTGCACCCCCCCCCACCTCATCACGCAGTGTGATGGGGGTTATAATTATACCTGCACCCACTGTTTATTCTATGTAATTTTTTATATTATCTACGATCACATAAACCCAATGAAATGTAGTTTTTATTAAAATAATGTTAGTACAGTACAGGGGTAAAATATTTTATATGATTTTCATGACATTTTATGTCGTTGGTACTTTACCGAGACTTTGTCGACATAACAGAAGCGTTGCCACCACATGGTGTAAAAATAAGTCTACATACCGTGCTTACCTTCCTTCTGAAAACACCCACTGCTTCGTGTGGTACTGCGCTCACGGGCAGCTGCAGCGGTCTTATTTGAGCGTTCCCTCATGTGGTACGCGTGTGCCACATAACAAGATTTCAGTCTCAAAGAGGTTAAGAACAAGTCTGGTTATCATCACATATCCCCTTCAAGACAAAGGACATGAAATACCACCTGCAGTGAAGGGATCGTTAATACGGGTTGCATCTCCCTGATCCGCCACCCTCGGGACCTGACCGGTGCTGGACCGGGGAATTTTCCGAACCGTGGATGGTCGGCGTATTATAGTACCAAAAACCTTACACAGCACTACTAAACCATTGTCTTATAACATTTTACTTTATAATTTATATTTTAACATTAATTGATACATGATGGTTCGATTTGGCTACCTTTGCACTTAAACAACTGATCGGTGAATAAACCAGGGCATATGGATCAGTGCCTTAGCTTTCAAAGGCAAGAATCAAACTGACGTCAAGTACTTAGGATGGCAGTACATTGTGGGTGGAGCTGAGATCTCGCTGTTAGTTCTTGGAGATAAGAAGACTGATATATTCTTTAAGGTTATTACCATAATTATTTCTAGGAATACAAAAGTGACAATAATTTCAATACAAACATCAGATTCTCTCTGATGATTGGGAATCAAAATGATCTAACTTCAGTATCAGCTGGAAACTCAGGGTGTCCCCAAGGACGCTGTCAGGTATTCGACACTTCTACTGGCAGACTCTACACTAACTTATTTGATAATTTCACTAAAAGTAAATACAGTTGAAGCTTTCAACATCACTCACAAGGGATCTTGAATGCTTCATCTGTAAGTAAACATGTGTAAATTAATGTATTCAGCTGCAATTTCAAATATCATAACATGATATGAGATACTATGGAATATCAGAGTTGGTATTACTTGAGAGAAAACGGAGGACTCGGTCATACTGAAATGGTGAGAAAACGGCCGTCTCAGATGGAGGACTCGATACTGAAGTTATAGCTACATGTTTTATGGGCTATTGGGCGTAACATGAATCGTCTGATTTTATGTTGACAAACATGTACGACCGTGGTCGGTATATAATCACCTTAAATCATGTGATTCAGGTTACAGTACTCTTACCAAGTTTCTTTATGCCATTTGCCTCTGTCTACCCGGCAGTAATTGGGAACCTGGATGTTAATCAATTTGCGGATCGTGCTCTTGGGTAATGGTTAGCCAGTGCATTTGGCGAGTTGTCCAGTCTTCTCGGACTATTCCTTGACACTGGGTCATGCAACTCGTTAACTTAGGGTGTGGTTGTTGTGTTGGCGACACCTTCTACACCTTAAACAAATTCACGCCTTGGTGGCCCTTGGCCAGCCATCCACATTACACGAGGGGCAACCATTATAACCCAGATTACATTGGAGTTACATCTGGGGTCTCAGCTGGGGAGAACTAAAATTAAGCCGACCAATGGGAGGTGACAGACCATGGCATCTCGGATCAGGGAGGTTCAACCTGTACGAGGTTGCATGTAATCTAACTGGCATGTGTGATTCACCTTTGAACAACACTGTAGCCCTCTGTTTGGGAACTACAGGTACTGCATTAAGCAAAAAATAAACAACCTAGTCCTTCATATTCAACAGTAAGAATGTCTTGAAGATAGTTAATATTATTAAGCATGGTGAGAGATGTGTAACGGGTAAATAAAAGCACTACAACGACCATATCTCTGCCGTTCATGGCTACGACGGTGCGACTGATGGGCACACCAGTAATTAATTCTCCGTGATTACCAGTAATGGAAGTCGTGGAGAATACACAAGTTGTTACCAAGGTTGGCGCCACCCACACCAGGGGAAGGAGATGATGTCGAACACTGAAACATGCTGAGGTCTCGTTCCTACCATCGTCGTCACCAACAGGTAAGTCACATTAATTTGTCATCATAGCCCATGTCGTCCTTATACTATTGCAGGGTGTCCCATGAGTGACAGCAGATATTTGTAGAGGTGAAATAATATGTGATATTGAGCCACCACGTCTCTATCTCCATCCGTTTCCCTCTATCTATAATAAAAAGTGTAACCCTACTCAGAAAAAATAATGAATGGGCCCTCCAAACAAATTAAAGATGAGGTGCACCCCACCCAAATAGGGATGGGCCCTCCATTTCCTTTCGCCTTCTTTTCTTCACATCCTTTCCCCCTCCCGTTGCCCCAGTCACCCCAACCTACCACCCAATACCATGCAGTGTGCAGTAGGCCACACACTTTCCTCCTGAAAGTCTGTTCCGTTTAACCCACATTCTTTCACTACTAAACCGTCTTCCCCCTTTCCTATATTTCGCTATCGCTATCGGTATCTCCCGCTTCGACTCCGCCATTTGTAATGGTTGCCTTGCGTAATTTGTAAAATCCACCTCACGGCTAAACGTAAACCGAAAAATCCATATATGTATAGAAGTTTTATACTCAGAATCACATATTCTTTCACCTCTACAAATATCTGCTGTAATTAGTGGGACACCCTATTATAATTATATTACAGTTGTTATATGAGCTCCTTAGTTAACTTCACCATAAAAATATGGTGTTTGATGTGCTATGCGTTTGCCGCACGTTACCTTACTCGGTTATGTTACACCCCCAGTTGCAACCTGGGAGTTTGGGTTGGGTAATGTAGTATTTTGAGCAGAAATGGAATTCAGAACGACTCGATGAACATGAAGAAAAACGTTTTTATATAACGAACCCTAACGTAATGTAACCAATTACAGTTATATGTAATCTGGGACGAACATGTCATAGCTGAAAATTGTCAAAGAAATATGTAAAGCAGTGGAAAACCATATATTTTGATTATCGGCGAGGCTAACTACCTATAAACAATTAATATTTGACGATTGGCAAAAGTCCTGGGAAAATGAACCAACAAGTCATAAGCTAAAAATGATCAAATTATCAGTTTATCCTTGGTCATCATCAAAACAATCCTCTCGACATCACGAAACTATTCTGAATCGTCTAAGAATTGGGCATACGCGATTGACGCATGGCCAACTCATGTCTTCCCCTAATGGAGCCCCACCTATATGCTCCAACTGCTGAACACAAATAACAGTAAAACATATTCTCATTGAATGCCCTATTTATAATCGGTATCGAACTATGTGCTTCACTAACCCTACAATGTAAGATATTTTAGCAGAGACCCCAAAATTTTCGCTAAGTTCAGTTTTGACCTTTTTGAAATACTGTAATCTCCTCCAAACAATATAACACTAAATTATAGAAACACAAATATGTTAACTAATCCCTCTGGCCAGCCCTAGGAGAGACTCAAATGGGTGTCAGTGGTCTGGTTAAACTAAATCTTGATGATGATGATGATTATCGGCGAATGTTCACTTTACAGTCGCTGTTGTGGTGGTGGAGGTTTGGGGGGGGGGGGGAGGATCCACTTGCAGTTCACTATGAATACATGAAATAGGAAGGGTTTCTTGGGCAGTTGATCCAAAAAGATTTACCAAAACGTTATGTCAGAGTACTAATACTTAACCTAGGTGTTACTAATATCATTAATTTACTCTAGTATATAAAAGCTTGCATCAGTTACCACAACATAATATTACTCTGCCATTTCAGATATGCCTGCAGGACGAGCAAATTCGTCGGCAGTGATTGCTGAGTGAGGCCAAATCATCGGGATGTGGAGAGCCGGGGCAACTGTGCCGAACATTGCTCTCGAAGTGGGGAGGAGCACCAAGACGATTAGGAGGTGGATCCGCCGGTGGGAGGAAGAGGGTTCAGTGGAGACAAAACCTCGAAGCGGGAGGACACGAGTAACGTCGGCAAGGATGGACGCCATGATCGTGGCAGCTGCAACGGCATATCCAATGCGAACATCAGTGGAGCATACAAGAAATCTGGGCCTCAACTGCCATCACATGACGACGAGACACCGACTTCATGAAGCCAGGATCGACTGCCATATTCCAGCTCACAAAGGGTGGCTAACACCTACTCACAAGGAGTGTCGACTCGGCTTTGCATTGGAACACCTTCCACATAGAGAAGAATACTGGAGAACCATTATATTTACCGATGAAACGGTGTTCAGGTCAGTGGGAGCCGAAGCAAGGCAGTGCTGGCGG